AATATTAGATGTCATTTGGTCATACCTCAAACCCGGTTGAAATGCACGAGTCCATTTTTCAAAACCAATTCCTTCCAAGTATCGCTGGACCTCTGGAAATCCTGCTAGTTGGGAGAAATAGTATCTGAACTCAGATTTCCGGCAAGCCTTTGCMGCTAATATGAAAATTTCTTGCATGGCATCGTCCTTGAACTTGTCCTTCACRTTCGTAGRCAAGTGTTGCATGCATATTCCATGAGYYGMTTGTGRAAAGACCTGCCTAACAGATTTCGTAATGCACACATGTCGATCAGATACRAATAATAACCCATCGACCTCTCCAATACACGTCTYGACCATGTTCAGAAACCAAGTCCATGATTGWTCACTCTCTTGATCGACAAGTCCAAAGGCAAGAGGATATMTTTGATTGTTGCCATCAACARAAGAAGCAATAAGAATAACACCTCTATATTTACCCTTGAGATGTGCACCATCTATCACCAGCACTGGGCGGATACAACTGGATAACCCTCTAATACAGCAACTTAGGGCCATGAACGCGTACTTAAAATATTTATCTTCCTCCAGTTCCACTCCAAAAACAGTGCATGAATTAACAGCCTTCAATGCTTCACCATATTTGCGTAACAAAGTATATGAATGCTTAGGTGGCCCCATTAGCAGATTCAAGGCAACATTTTTCGCCCGCCATGCCTTTTCATATCTAATGTTCACCCCATAGTTCCTTCGCATGTCATTAATAATGTCTTTAGGTCTGTACTGACGGCTGACATCCTCCACATTGGACTTCACTAACTGACCAACCACCCAACTCCGAGCTTGCCTGTGGTCATGGTTCAGTACTTCACGTTTGCACTTGTGAAAATCATTAAACTTCGAAATGATGAATGAGTCACCACCTTGGATACTCTTTGCACGCAAACCCCATTTGCAACCTTGCTCGGTACATCCAACAGTGAACAATGTCTTCGTCGATTTTTTAACTTTAAATTTGAAATTCAACTTCATAGCTAGCACAGACAGTTTGAAGCGTAGTTCTTCCTTCGAACGGAAAATACCCTTAACAGCAATTTCACCTATGAAGTCGGACCCATTGCCAGTTATGATATTCTGCATCGGACGTRAAACAACTTCTTCAACTGTTTGATAAGGTGCATTCCCACTCACTGTATGCGACTCATGAACATGTTGACCTTCATTCTCATAATGTTCGTCAAGCACATCCTCGGTATGATATTCATCCTCCTCCCCATTGTCATATCCATTCCCACCATCGTCCTCAACCCCATCCTCGGTACGATATTCGTCATAATCATACTCATCATCACTCTGAAATTCGTACTCAACCTCGTTCTCGTACAGTTGACCATTCCCATCATCGTTCTCGTCGTCGTCTAGGTTACATGAGATAACGTTATCGGCTAATGGTGTAATCTCTGGACAAATGAGGGAAGACCGACATCATCCAGAGGAGAGTCAATAGAAATAGAACGGCCAAAACATGGATCATTCTGCCTTGGGTAGTATGGGAATGAAGACGATGTATGGGTTTTGAAAAAATTATTTCCTCTCCTGCTCCCACTACCATATGATGCTTTAGGTACGACGGTTATGTACAAGGGTACTTGTGACGGATCAGGAGGGCCGTTCAAATAGAATCTCAAACTGCTGTCATCAAATATTAGATAGTTTGGGACTTTATACCGAAAATCAAATCATATACGCACTGTACAATAAGATCAAATTGGTCAAGATCAATTCTAGTAAGCATGTGCAAGGCACTTACTAGGTTGGCATATGTTATTGTTTCATCAACATCTAGCCCACCCATGAYGCCACCTTCGTACACCGTACCAGCCTCGTTCCACTTGCCACCATAGATCACAAATAGTCGACGCATCCTACATGGAGAATAATAATAACACACAAG